TTGTTCAAAGATTCCCTTTTCAATGACGAATTCACGGACACCCTATTTTTAAGTTACAACCCCTACTGGAGTCCAGTGATGGGATCTCGACTCACTGCAGCCTCCACCTCCCAGGTTCAAGCACTTCTCCTGCCTCAGCCTACTGAGAAGCTGGGACTACTGGTGCGCACCACCATGTCCAGCTTATTGTTGTACTTTTAGTAGAGACGGTATTTCACCATGTTGGTCAGGATGGTCTCCATCTCTTGACCTCGTGTTCTGCCCTCCTTGGCCTCCCAAGGTGCTGGGATTATAGGCATGAGGCACCGCACCCAGCTCTCAACTTCTTTTCTTATTTTATTTTTATTTTTGTGACTTGTCCTCTTATTTATGTTGTTTATTGACTGACTCCCACATTAGCATGTAAACTCCATCAGGGCAGGAATTTTTGTCTCTTTTTTTTTTTTCTTTCTTTTTTTTTTGAGACCGAGTTTTGCTCTTGTTACCCATGCTCTTTGCAGTAGCACAATCTCGGCTGACCGCAACCTCCGCCTCCTGGGTTCAAGCAATTCTCCTGCTTCAGCCTCCTGAGTAGCTGGGACTACAGGTGCGCACCACCACGCCCAGCTAATTTTTGTATTTTTAGTAGAGACGGGGTTTCACCATGTTGACCAGGATGGTCTTGATCTCTTGACCTCGTGATCCACCCACCTCGGCCTCCCAAAGTGCTGGGATTATAGGCGTGAGCCACTGCGCCCGGCCATATCTCTTTTATTAATGTATTCCCAGTGCTTAGCACATTTCAAATACTAAACAAATGCTGCATGAATGAAGACCAATCCCTGCGGCTTTTAAAGATACTATGTAGCAATTTGAAAGATCTTACAATGAAACAGGCTGTGGTGGCTCATGCCTATAATCCTAGCACTTTGGGAGTCTGAGGTGGGTGGATTGCCTGAGCTTCGGAGTTCGAGACCAGCCTGGGCAACATGGTGAAACCCTGTCTCTACTAAAATACAAAAGAAATAAGCTGGGTGTGGTGGTATGTGCCTGTAGTCCTAGCTACTCGGGAAGCTAACGTGAGAGAATCATTTGAACCCGGGAGGCAGAGGTTGCGGTGAGCCGAGATGGCACCACTGCACTCCAGCCTGGGCAACAGAGTCAGACTCCATGTCAAATAAATAAATAAATAAAACAGGCTTGGTGCGATGGTTCACTCCTGTAATCCCAGCACTTTGGGAGGCCGAGGCAGGCAGATCACGAGGTCAAGGGATCAAGACTATGCTGGTCAACATGGTGAAACCCTGTCTCTACTAAAAATACAAAAATTAACCAGGCATGGTGACAGACACCTGTAGTCCCAGCTACTTGGGAGGCTGAGGCAGGAGAATCGCTTGAACCCAGGAGGCGGAGGTTGCAGTGAGCCAAGATCACTCCACTGCACTCCAGCCTGGTGACAGACAGAGAGACTCCATCTAAAAAAAAAGAAAACAGAAAGAAAAAAACAAAGTATACAATGATATGACAGGTGGGTGATTCTTCCCACGGCATACAACAGACATTGCAAACTTCATGAATGGTACTGAAATAAATAATTTTACGGGCTACTCTACTTTAGTCCTCTAATGTTGGGTTCCAAGATTTATCTGGTT